TGTCTCCTTCACGAATAGTATTTCCTTCGTGCGTTGGTGGCCATACTGAAAAACAGCTCAAAACACGATTTAATACTATACAACGCAAAAATACGGTATTGGTCAGTAACTGACAGACCGCATTATCTTTTGCGTTGTGTAGTATTAAACCGTGTTTGATATTGTTTGTCAACATCCATGATTAGTGATGCTCGTTATATTTGCAGCATTACAATTTTTTTCATATAAGGTATCGGTTACTGTGTTGTAGAGGGAACAATTCCTCTCCGAAAGCAGATCTGACTGCATTTGGCTCTTCCAGGTTACAGGCGAGCCTTTTGGCTGATGTTTACCTTGCTATGGCTCGCACACGAGAACTTGGTAACCCGGAGTAAATGTTTCTGCTCAGCCAGTTTCTCTATCAGGTCCAGCCACGTTTCTTGATCTCCATTTCTGTTAAGGGCACCATTGCCTGGCAGGAGATTGGAGTCATTCTTTACATGATCCTGCCATTAACCCTCATCGTGAGTAGAAGCCAACGCTGCTGCACGCAGTTCATTTGTCGCTCTTGCTCCTGCCATCACCTCTCCACGCTGTACAACAATCCTGATCTGACAGAGGCAAGATACGAGCAGATTTTGTGGAAAGGGCTACTCCATTTTCAGCCAAAATATTTGACAGGTTGCCAGAAACAGTGGAGAGAATGACAATCCTCCTTTTAATTCTGATTGGATAGTACTAACGCTGAAGATTATTGAGTTGAGAGAGTTACGCTGGTTGACTTCCTCATAACTTGGAACTTTGGACAGCTTTCGTAGCTCTGTTGCAAACGGAAGCAGCCAGGGGATAACCTGCCCCCATCAGCACTATATCTTCTGTGAGATGAATATGATATCTGACCGGATATCTTGGACGGCCCCTTCCGTCGACAGTGAGGTCTTCATCTCTGCTACGGTGAGTGCCGTTTCGAGTATGGTGTAGTGTTTTCCAGTAATATTGGAACAAATATACGGTCTTTGAAAGCTTGCCATTATACGTGTACAGTGAGCTAAGGAATATGTGAGCATATACGCATCACAAGTATAGGCAATTACATACCTAGATGGAAGAACTGTGGCCCATTTGAATTTTGTATTCATTCCTGAGAGCTGTGATGCAGTGGGTTTTAGTGTTGCTTTGCGCCTGGGTGCCGGGTTCATATCCCTCTCTTGCTTGAACAGAAATTTCCTCCCACCGTGCTTCGATGGAACTAACTGAGAAACGAATAGTAATAATTCGATGCGCATGTTTAATTCAAGCTGATCAACGCGTGCATCCTATGACTTCAGTTCGTCTTGACCCACTTGATGCCTTGTTAAGAATCAATACAAGGAGCAACCAGTAACAAAATATGGTAAGGAAGTATTACAAAGTCCTATTCTCCCTTGGCGTTCTTTTTTTCCGGCGCTAACCTCAGTTTAAGTGCCATAAAGTAGAAGTACCATATTGTTCTTTTTCTAAGGTTATATGTACAGCTTTGTGGCAAACTTAAGCTGTATTCCCTTGTTTCCTTCCCTCGATATGCTATTCATTCATGTACTTTAGAAGGAGCAAAAGCGAGTGAACCAATCGGGTCCAAACATGTGACTTTTCGTCTACGAGTTGGAAGCTTTACCGATGAGCAGTTCTGGTAGTAAACATGAAATACTTACTCATGATCACTGATCGTGCAAGAACGGCTTCAAAAACGAGCACCACCTAAAATTTCAAACAAATTTAAATCTGAAAGTATAATATGTGCAGATAGCAGACCAATATTGATTTTCGGTAGGTCAGTTCACGCTAATAAAAGACCCCAACCCACATTGAACAAAAGAGTTACACTGAATTTAACTGATTAACATGGGACACCAGCCAGGGATCGCAGTTCTGAATCACTCGCACTTCAGAGCCAAGTATGAGTGGCCACCTCTTCTCCTTACACACGCAAGCAAAGAGTCATAGATCCTGTTCAAACGTGAAGTTTTGAAAATTATGTTCTTACGAAGGCAAGACGAGGTAGACTCATGTTTAAGGTATAACGGCCTCGTTGACAGACAGTTTTAATGCTTTTGAAGAATGTTTTGATCAAACATTCCTGACACTTTAGCAGTTACGAGGAATAAACCACGTGTTAATATCCTTGATCATGCAGTCTTGCGCCTTAAACATTGATATCGCGCCACAAGATTGACCCCAGATAGTCTTTTGCAAACCTGGAGGAGAATCATACATCCATTGAGGTTTAATTTCATGTTTTAAAACAAGCCGCTAACCTGTAGAATGACTATCATGCATTAGAAGTGCATTCAGCATAAAAGAATTACTCATGCTGTTTGCTGATCCTCTGGAATATCATAAGTTATTCGTGTGTAAAGTAAGGAATGAATCCCCCAGTGCCAGATTTCATGGGGTATTGCATCATCCCCTCACTTATAGTTGCCTCGAGGGACCGCTTAAGCAGGCCACGGCTCCATATGGTAGTATCAGAGTCATTTGTTATTTGACATACTCTGGTGAACAAACAACTTACGATGTTCATCGGTCGCGCGCGTATAACAAGTACCAGTTCCTGAAATCTAGCTCATGGTGAGCGCAATGTGCCTCTAGCGGTAAAAATTATGCAAAATGCATCTACCACTGCAGGTGCTCAGCTACTATAGAACCGGGCCTGCTTAAATACGTCCTCCCTCAAGGCAACTGGGATAAAAAGTAGGTGTAATGCACCGTGGAATCTGGTCTTGGAAGAGTCATTCGTAATCCGTTAGAATGCTTCGATAGGTTTCACTGTTTTATATCTCCAGAGGTCACATGCTCTCTATTCCATATAATTAATACGACCGTGATAGATTCATTGCCAGTAAAAGATATATATTTCTTAATGGCTGAAAGGCTATTGTATTATCCACAGTAGTATGCTTCGACACATAATGAATTGAATGATAGATGGCTGGACCACGTAAAGAATTACTCTACTTTTTTCCAGACTCGGGTCAGTTCAGTGGATTTTTAAATTAAGAAAAAAAGGTTGGCCGAACTAAATAACCCGGTTGAGCGCAGGCCAATTATTTCAGTCGATGAATTTCTCGTTTGGAAACCGAATGACAACAGATGTCGTTCAGGAGACCGACATACGACATTGAGGACAAGAGCTGAGGAAGGTGTGATTTTTTGAATGATTCATGGTTTGGGACATGGTTTACCGTATGCTGTATTTGGTGCCCCGAGCCATGAATCGTTCGAACAACCATGCATATAAATATGGGCCCAGAATCGGAAACCTGAACAATTATAGAGGTCTGGCTGTTGGAAGGAACTTCGTCATCTACGATGTAGCAGGCCGATGCCTACAGCAAAAGCGTTGCAGGGATATGAATCAGACTCTGACTATGGCAGCGGTTCAAAGTGGCGGTCTCAACAAACAAAACTGGCGCCAATAGTAGTTCCTTGCCACAGTGTACTCACAGTGGCTGTAAACATACGCAAGAAAGTCATGCAGTGTCCTCTTTGAGGCGTTCGTAAGGAATATACAAGCCAAGTGAAAACGGATTGTCAGAGACTACTTATTGCGAGACTGTACAGCGCCACAGTCTCCAGAAGCCATCGTTCATTACTACTGATGACATATTTATAATGATGAAAAGACTAAGAGTCATCTGGCTTCGAAAGGCTTCATAGAGGCTGCAAAACGCCATCAGATAATAAATGATCCTGGAAAATTTAATCTTTTTATGTAGATGCCCTCAATGCATTTCAAACCAAAAGAGTTTTTTCAAAACGAAAGTTTCAGATCTATGCGTTGGCTCAGTTAAACTAAGCCAATGTCTCGCTACCTTGGAAACTTCCTCTACAACATATGCCTTCTACTGTCAGTGGCTGTTTATTTATGTATAACAGCCCATATCATCGGTCAATAATGTTTGTTTGTGAGGTAGGGAAAAGATGCGACAATGTCAGTCAAAACTGTTGGACGGCAGAACACCAGTTCAAGCGAAGTCTCGGAACTGCGGATGCCGCAAAGGAAACGTCCACAAATTTCTAAATTACATGACTTACGCCAATAAACTATGAAAAACGACCGTTATGGATTTTGATACCTGCTTGATTTGACTCAGTCCGCTGATTCATACATAATAGCAGACTGCACTCGCATCGTCAGACAGCTCGGCAGCGATAGGACTTTTGTTTACCTTACGGTCATGCAAAGATCGCTTTCGAGGTAACGATGCCTTATTTTTCCTTCTATTTGATTTTCTACTAATTTAGGAAATGGCAGACTGCTTGTCAGGCGATGAAACAAATACTCCGAAGGTCACCGGCCGACGTTTGTTCATTTTTGGTGGGCCAGGCAATAAATCGAAGTGGCGCGAAAAATAAAATAACTCGTGAATTGAAGTCATAATCTGTCATAACTTTTGCTTCGGTAACCAATCAGATCATGAACCACGTCGACTGTCAGTTGTCCGGCGATGCACGGCAGGCAAAACGCGCTAATAATTACACATGGTTATCGCGAGGACAATCAAAACAGTCGCTTCGCCTTTGTTCAGGCGAAAACAGCTTGTACTTGAGCTGTACAAAAATTCCAATCGAACCTCACATCTTGAACGACGTGAACAAAAATGAACTTTATATTTAATATCAATGATGGCCATCTGAGGCATGTCCCGGTCGCGGACCTCAAGGTGTAGAGGTTACCTGTAGGAAATAAGTAGTCGCGGACAGGCAGCGGTGAGTCCCCCAGAGGGTGGCTTTCGACAAGTGCGATTCTCATGGAGAAAGTCAAAATGTCCAATGACAGTCCTATGACTAGAGGAAAGTGAGCCATGCCATTGAAGGAAAACGGTCACAAACGTCTTCTTTGCCTAGCAGTTAAACGTTGCCACGTCAAAAGTGTTGAAGGAGGCAATATCGATAAAAACCGGACGGAATTAGGGAACCCTTCAGAACGAAATTACCCAGGCCCCCGTAGCCCAGATAGCCGGTGGAAAATCTTCATGTTCTGTGAAAATACCAGCAAGTGGGTCTTAGCCCAATGCGCTTCTCTCGACCCGTTCTAAAACGGCGGTTCCATATTCGACTGAGGGGAGGGATGAAAGACCGCCATCTGGTAAACGGACCCGGCCGTCCTGCAACCGCTGAATATTGATGAGGAAACAAATGTCAAATTAACTACTTGAAGAAAGGTCAGGGATGGTCTGCGACATCCTTGGCCTCTGCGAAACACAAAGATGGAAAAAGATGAATGACATCTACAATGAGAGTATTTCGAATAGGTAGAAAAAGGAGAAGGTGCGGAGAACGTACGATGATTCAGATTTGTATACAGCAAAAGCTGATCCCTCAAAATAGTCTGCTGCCAGGCGAAGTTACCAAGATTTGGCGTGCTCATACTTCACTGAAGATGAACACTTTGAAGACTGTTGAAACCTCTGCGTACAGAAGTACAGACGACGAGGAGGAAGCGCAAAAATTCTATCATGAACTGAAAAAGGTGTTCGTACCAAAATATAACCTCGTAATTGGAAACCTCACTGCCAAGGTTGGATGAGGAAACGCTGATACGGCACTGGAGAACCAAACGAGTGAGAAGGTCAGCTGATAATCATGACAGAAGAAAAGCACCTGTAGAGTGGCAACCCATGGTTCAACAAAAAGACTAGCAGGAGGTGGACATGAGACTTGATCAAACGCGGCGATGAATAACTAGATCGATATCGTACTGTTCGATAAATGCTACATTAACCGAGACATAGCAGTAGTACCCTCAGTAACACCAGCGGAAATGACCTCAAAATATTGCGGCTAGGCAAACCTTCAAGAAGAACACCCATAAGAATGCAATGCAGGTGGCAAATCGCAGACAATCCCTAAAAGTATTGGAACAGACGGTGCTCCTAGGGCATATTTCCAATGAAGATTAGAAACTGAACGGCAGCTGAGGCGGCATCTACGAGAAGTTCGCCAAGAACATGAGGCGCCGCATAAAGTCAGCTGAGTTGCAAGCATTAGAGAGAACGAGAGAAAGGATCGTACAAGAGACAAATTTTGGTAGAGAGGCAGAGGAGGACAAAGAGAGGTGTGGCCAACACGCACGCGCAGTGCTCGTTTCTATGCAAGTTCACTAGCCGGAGGCCGGGGGAGCACTTCGAGACCTCAGAGAAAAAGAAAACAGCCAAAGACCACAGAAGCCTTAGACAACGTAGAATAGAACATAGCTAGATTTTCATCACTCTACACCACCGCGTTGAAGAACCAGAATGGCGCATTAATATTTGACAGGGCTGAAATGCAGCCTCTCTGTGAGAACGTTTACACGCACCTCTTAGCATCAAAACTCGCTTCCTCCCTCACCATCACCCCAGCAGCTGGATGCAAGTGCACTCTGATCTATCGTAAGGGAAGTTCAGCATGCCGAGCAGCAAGTGACCCAGGTGCAGACGAACCGACAGTTAACCTGACAATAACAAGTGGTAAGACGTTATAGAGAGCTCTAGCGGAGAGGTTCAGTTGCTACTTGGAAAAGGTAAGATATCATCAACCTGTAAGGAGTCTAAAACAATCTTGTCGCTCCAAAAAGGGACAGAACGACAAAGTGAAGAATTGTCGCCCAATTTGCCTGCTCTCACAAGTTTATAAGTTGTTACAATGAAAATATCACCAACAGACTGCCAAAAGGTTTTGACGAACAGCAGAATTCTGAAGAAGTTACAACGTAATGGATGACACCGTTAGCTTAAATCACTCCTAGAGTGCTTGAGGGAATATTGGCTACCTCTCAGCATCGCCTTTATGTCAATTACGAGATCGAGAAAGCGTCCTTTACAATAGAGTACAAATCAGTGTGGATTGCACTGCCAGAAGAGGGAATCAACACCCGTTATCAAACTTAATGGAAGTAAACTTTCGCTTATTCACAAACATCATGATGGTCGACACCCTGCGGATTCTCGAGGACAAGGGCATATTCTGCCCCCCTCGCCATAAACTCTTCATTGCTTGTTTGGAAATGGTGTTCCGAAGGATGACCCGGAAAGCTGGGATTAACATAAATGATGAGCAGCTGAGGGGTATAATATTCGCTGATGAGAGTGCTTTATTTGCAGAAATCGCCAATAGGTTACAAAACATTGTGCACGAGCTCGACATAAAAAATGCAGAAGTTGGACTGCAATTCAATTAGTCAAAGACGAGGTTACTGCGAATAGATATCCTGTAGAAGATCCAAGTAACATTAAATGCTAAAAAATCAAAGTATATAAATACGTTTAATTGGGTCAAGGAAAAAATATGTGGCATGATCAGGCCGAAGAGGTTCAACGGAGGAAGTGAGCAGGTTGGCGTGCATTTGATTGCATGGAGGACTTATTCTTCGGTAGCATCAAGAAAGACGCCTACCGAACTGTTCATTTGTACCGTCCTGCTGGCTGTGACATGTCACTGTGAGATGTGGTCACGCACTAATGCCGAAGAACGCCAGCTGTCTGTCATCAGGAAAGACATAGAAGGATTAAGGTTGATAATCTCAAATCGTGCCTACAACCCAAACAAGCTGAGCAGACAGGGGACGGGAGTTAAAGTTGGTGTCGGGGTCGAAGGCAGAAAGGGAAAGCTGCGGTGGTCCAGGCACATAGCTCGAGATCGTCGATGATGATCGATAACCGACTGGCACCCTCAGTGGATGACTACCCCGCTCGGTGGGTAAGGACGTGATTCCAGGACCCGAGAAGAACGCGCATGGAGGGAAAAGACTCGAAAAGTGAAGAGTAATGAGTAAGTTGCAACAGGCGCGATTTGCCGCTAATCACTTATAGTTGGTCGAAGTGACAGGAGTGATATGAATACATGAAATTAAACAGTAGGAGAGTAAAGGAATTTTTCTACATGGCGAGATGGCTAGAAATTCGTTCCGTTCCAGCTGAATTTAGTTCCATTCATAAATAGATTAATGCAATGCTTTAATCCCTGCTTTAGGTTTTCATCAACCATTCAGTTAGTCGTTGCTCATCAAGGGCAAAGTGGTTTAAGTGTAAGCCGCCAAACTTGGCATACACTCTTAACACCTTTTACAGTTGGGATAAAACCAGAATATTGGGTTAAAGCTAGATTTTGCCAAACTGTATAACTCAAATTTAATTATTAACTCTCTTTAGCGTTTTATTTAGCCTAGAGACGAATGGATTTGTGCAAGTGGAGCTTTTTAGCACGTGACTCATGGTTCTTGGGATCAGGGTTAAGCACAATCGCAAAGACAGAACTCCTGCAACCCTCATCTACTTTAGTTTCCTCATCCGTGAAAATGAAATTTTGAATATCAAGTGCAAGGAGGCTTCATTTAGCTCTGCAAACTGCCATAAGAGGGAAGAACGAGACATCAGTCTAAAATGAAAAGCTGAGCTCAACAGACCGATGTCTGCTCGCTTTACGGTGAGAGCTTAACTCTAAGAGTCGAAGAGGCGAGGAAACTATTGTTCTTCGGCTACTGGCGTTTACGAATCACCCCGTGGGCACGATTTATCGACCCTATATACAATGCCACACCGGTGCCGGATGTAACACTATCCAGTTCTCGGTTGTCATAAAAACGGGGACTCTACTGAATGGGGCCTGTCCTGAGACATCCAACAGACGATATTATCCCTGCTTCAGTGATTCTTCAAGCAGATCCCTCGATAGCACAGGCAAAGTGGCTGACAAATTAAGACCTAGAGGGATTCTGTTAGTGCTAAGATGTCTTCTCGAGGCCGGTAGCGTACTGGCAAAAACAGTGGAAGAAGGAGGGCTGAATTTTGAGGCAAACATTGCACGTGTTCGATAGAAGTGGAAAGCAGCCATTGGGGGATATCACTGCAGCCGACATGGCCAGTGATGGCGACGGCAGTAACAATCAAAAGGCAAGAATAACGTCAGCGATGGTAATCAAAAAATTGTTTTTCTAAGTGAACAAAACAAGCTGATTTTCCGTAGCGATATTCTGTAAGCGAATAGACGACTGTTTACTTTAATTCAGAGTCTCAGGTTTGTCTGGCCTCCAAAGTTTAAATTCAATGCCTTTTATAAATAGCAGTAATATGAGGTGATGGAAAGAATTAATAGACCGCGACAGCTTCTGACCTCAAGCAGCATAAGTCATAAAAATTATATAAATCCGCTGGTTATTTTGCAGACATCATAAGTCCAAGGTACTGCTGACCGGAGCAATTGATGACACCTACATACGGCTGAAAAGCTTGATAAAAAATGCTTTAAGAAGCTAACCGTGAACTACAGATCATTCAGAGTAGCAGAGCAATGAAAAATTTGCAGCCTTATTACTGAGGTTAACGAAACAGCCGTAATGTGAAGGGCAAAAATTAATCTTGTACATTTTGAAAGGCTGTATGACACTTCATCCTGAAGAAAAAGACAATCGAAGAAGCGCTTAAAACAATTTTCCGCAGCACATACACTCTTCTATTCACATTATCGTAGCCTTAATGAAACAATGATGGCACGACTGTAGCAACTTGATACTTCTCCCTCTTCACTGCTGGCCTGCTGGCTGTTAGAACAAAGTCCCACGGTGGAACGGTGACTCTTTTATTCCTTCAGGACTAGTTACAATTGCCTTCTGCCAGTGCGGGCTAATAGTTCGGGCAAATTAATCTTGGAATGTTTGCTTCGTTTTCATTGCAAAAGAAGAGGAGGGAAAAATTTGTATCCTTAGCACGATGATCAACAGTCAGAATTGACTCACTGTCAGATTTGAATAACTTAACTTTGATAACGAGGAATTCCACCTCATGCCTCACTGACTCGATTTCTTAATCAGAAATTAAGCAATCAGGA